CTTCCATCCTTCCCCCTCTCCCTCTTATCTTCTTGCGGCACGTTCTCTGACACTTGATTGAACTATTTTATCGTGTTAAGAGGGGACCAAGTGTAAAAGGAGTGCCCTCAGCTGTAAATTTGAAAACACGGTTTCCTACGCTACTTCAGAGACCGAACTGCACACACGGACAAAACATTTGCTTTCTTTTAAAGCAACATTAAATAAATGATGAGGGGCGAAGACAGACATGATTTCCAGATGAGGAAGACTCAAAAATAGGAAACTGAGATATTCTTTACTCTAAAACTTTTATACTATTTCAGTTTTAATTCTTGATTTAAAAACATGTAGTTAAGCATTACCAGCCTTTTGTAAACACAGCTTAAGTGCCTTTTTTAGTTTTTTTTAATTGCATTGTGTTTCTTGTGAAAGCAAACATAGAACAGCAGTTGTCATAAAAACAAATCAATAAATTGAGAATCGTCCGTTTTTAACTAATGGTTAGATTTTTAGGCACAAATACAGCCGATGGAAATATGTACTGTTGACAAATTTCGTTTTAAATCAGCTGAGACAGACTACCGTGTTTGTAGTCTGCTGTTCACAGCATCTCTGATTCTCAGGTGGAGACAGTCGAGAAAGAAGGCCTCACTTCAACAGATTTAATTTGCCTAATCCTCCCTGTTCCCTAAATCTCAGTTTAAAAAAAATGGAAATGTAGCTCCTTGGAAAAAAGAATAAAAAAAAATTGGTGCTCCTGGTCTGGAAAAGTGGCTTAAATGAATTCCTCTCATTAGTATCTACCATTTCTCTGCATAATTAAAACAAAATAACCTCCTTTGAATGTAATTTAGAAATTTACCAAGAGCAGTTTTGAATATGATAACCTAGAGAATTAATTTATCGAGAAGAAAGGGGCATTATTCTAACACTAAATTAGTTCAGCTGAAAACTAAAAGAACCATGCGACCATCCATATAGGGGGCACCACAAATAGGGGACTTAAAAAAATACCATTATATATAACTTTTTTTTTATTGGAGTATAGTTGATTTAGTCTGCAGAATAATGTGATTACTCAGGTTCATGAAGGGATCTTGTTCTGTGGGTTGCTTAGCCTGCTTTGCATGAGCTGAATATTAACTATTTTAATTGGACAACCTGATTTCCAAAGATGAAAAAAAATAATGCCAAAGACAAAAATACTTAATTTGATGTGAATGTATGTAAATTTTGCAGTGAGATTTAGAAAATTTCACAAGTGGGTGCCACCTGAAATTTTGCCTAGGGTGCCAAACCCTGTGTAGCACTCATCTTTTCATCGTCATCTCTTTTTACCATCCACCCATCACACCCTGCACCCTGCATTTTTAGTGACATGAAAACATGCTTTTTTTTAGACATGGTATACAAAATAACCCAATCATCCTAACATGTGACCCATGTCAGCTTTATCCTCCCAACTCCTCAGCAAAGATCCCTACATTTGGTGGTCTCTATCAGCCCTTTGTCCTCCTGCCGTCATCTTATTCTTCCTGCAGTTCAGCACTGAGCGACATCTGCCTTTATCTTGCCTTCTGCTTTCTTCAGTCTGCATCATCTTTACCACCCATACTTCCATCATCCTTTAAACGTTTAGCAGAATATGTTGCCTTTCAGTGCGTACAAGACTGGGAGTTACCGTAGAACATGAGACCTGTCGACACATGATCCCAGAACCTACACGTGACTAGCTCCTCAGTCTGTCGGTGCTCACACAAATTCTAAAAAAAAACAACCTCATGCTAACTCCCAGCATCAGCACTGCCTCACTACTCACCCACACAGTACGTATGCATATTAACACCACTAACAACAAGACACGCATAAGCACATGCTACCAAACATGTTATTTTTGTTTAATATATGCACATTCTTTGAAATGTTTTCTCTTGTATATCTTGTTGAACTCGCTGCAAGATGGATAAAAAAATACCTGTAGGGTTTATAACCACATTTGCATCACATGAGGGAGCTTGTAGACCTTTGAACTCAGCTTTCGGTTCTTTGAAATGTTGGGAACAGCCAAGATAGTTGTGGGAGATTAGTAGGTCACCGGTGTAACTACTGCTGGAGTTTGATTTTGTTTAGCCAATGCTGCACACTAAACTGATACTATGAGTGGATTCATACTTAGGACAGTTTTGAAATATTTGGTAATTATGAATTGTAGGGGTGCATGATAATGGAAAAAAAAGATATTGCATTTGTTTTCCTAACCTTGAAATTGAAGTATACAAAAATACATGAATTTTTAACATTACACTTGTACTACTTAACAAAACACTACTTAACACTTGTACTACTTGTAATACTCTTGTTGACAATGAACCTGCACCAATACTACATTTTGTGTGTGTGTGTTAAAAGTATGTACATGTTTTAATAAGTTGTTTTTAATTGTTATTTATGTCTGTATTTGACTTAGTCTTATTTTTTATTGTTTGTATTGTGCTGGGACCTGACAACGTTTCCATCCACCTAACATGTCGCCTCTGCTTCTATCTTAGTTCCTGTTTCCATTCCTCTTTAATAAACATATTTTACCTCTTTTCCTCCAATTTTTACACACATTTGCTAATATATATATTAGGGTGCAACGATGCAGGAAATTCACGGTTCGGTTC